GAATACCAGTTAGCCGGCAGTGTGAGTCATGAGAGAGTGCGATGAAGGTATAGGGGTACTCGTGTGTGTGTAGGGGAGCGAGCTCACCGGGCTGCAGCACCTAGGGAAGAGCGCCAGAGTATAGGAATACCAGTTAGCCGGCAGTGTGAGTCATGAGAGAGTGTGAGACATCACCACCACACTTGGATGCTTAGCACAACACACGAAGAAAAATGCAATGCACAAGACTCTAGAGGAGTCTTTCTGACGGCGTGTCGTGGTTTGGGTGGTTTTGAGCCTCCCGTCCCTCATTTTGGAGAGTTCCGATGCCCGCGGGTTCACAAATCATCACGCCCCCTCCAACTCTCTTTTAGTCAACTTCCTCTTCTCTTAACCCCTCACAAATGAAATGAGCGTCACCCCCATTTGTTGAGCATGGACTGAGTAGTGTTGCTGTATTCTTGGTCCTTCTTCATATTCATGGAGGGGGAGTGTGGAGGGTAGAGGTTGATGTTGATGATGACGAATTGAAAATGTGGGCATTGGCCTTTACATCATACAACACACGCCTTGCAACGTGCTACTCCTCTTCTCCTCCTCCCATACTATCCCTACCATACCACACATGTCTTCTCCAGTTTCCATGTGTTGAAGCGTTCCTGATTTGTTGCATTTTTTGCCAAGTGGGATGCGTCTTGAGGCAGCATCATCAGCATAATCACCTTCATCAGCATCCCTCCCCTGACGACGCAGGAATTATAGTTGAAAGAGCTGCTTTTTTAATACTTTTGCAGGACATTGGGTGCGTTGTGGGAAGGGTACAGCGTAGGAAACCTACGTTTTGAGATTGGACAAGGCAAAAACGTACTCACAGGCGCCCAATACCCTTGATTCTTCTTTATCCCTTCCTTAAAATCAGACCAGACGGATAACAAGCCAGGCAATATGAAATCTTATCTTTACATCTCGAAACAAAGCGTGCCAAGAATGTGGTGGTATTTAAGTTTTATTTTTGGCTGTTTACTCGTAGGATCCATCCTACCTTTGATTTCTGATGCTGTTCAATCAAGAGCAATCGTCAGCAAATCTGGTAGTTATATTTCATCAACGGAATCGCATGCATGTCTCACCATCCCGGCTGCATTTGAAAAAATAGCGTCTATGTACCCCACGAACATTCGACCTTCCGTCTTTTTTATGAGGACTTCTGCTTTTAAAGCAGTATTTTACGGTGTCCCCGGTGATGAAATGAGATGGAGACAAGTAGAAAATCAATATTCGTGGAAAGGTGCAAGTGCTACCTTGGTATTTGTGGGTGAACTCTTCCGCAGGGCAAAGTCAAAAGGATATGCTAATATTGCATCAAATGGGTTGGTTTCTCCGACGTTAATCGATATAGGTGGAAACATGGGACAAGAAGCTGTCGTGGCTGGAATATATGGCTTTTCATCCAGAACATTTGAACTCTTACCTCGATCTGTCGATACTATTCGGCTCAATTTAGCCTTGAATTGCATATCGGAGGAAATGAATGCAGTAGAAATGGCGGGTGTCGGCAAAGAGTCTGAGGAGATAAGAATTGATACATCAGGTTTTACCGCTAGTAAAGCAGTCGAGAAAGGCAATTCGACTGATTATTTGGCTAAAATTTGGTCCATGGACGACTTTTTCCTGAGGCAAGAGAAAACTCGATTGTCTGGAAGGCCTTTGTTGTACAAGATTGATTGTGAAGGTTGTGAAGCCAATGCGATTCTGGGATCTTTGGAGATGTTAAAGAAGTTTCCCCCTCATTACATTCTTCTTGAATATTCCAAATTCTCCAACATTAATGTGTCCGTGGTCGAAAGACTTTGGGTTGAGTTCGGGTATTCACGTGTTCTGCTTGTCGATGAAGGTGATGAATGGATTAAAGACGAGAATATGTCAAATTCGGAGCCAAGAATTTTTAGACCTGCGCGTCTTAGCTTGGAAAAAGGACGTCGAATTTGTGAAAAATATTGTGATTTGTTGTTCATACACGATAGAGCATTGGATCTTGGGTTTTCCAATTAATATTATCAGCATGATGACATGAGAATGAAATTCCGATTAGGCGTAGGATTAAATGTCATGTCACTCGTATGGCTTTAGGCACGAGCAAGAAACATGGTGCAGTCTAAACTCGCGCCTTTTCTTCTTTGAAAAACCGAGAGTCACGCGTCGGTAGGAGTAGACGGCGAATATGCATTTCTTCATCATCCAAGAACTGGTCGGAGGTGTCGACTCGATGGGTATGGTAATCAGGAGCACCTGGTAAATCATCATTTGATCGTTGGATATAACCTTTCACGTATGCAATCTCAGTATTTTTAAAGAACTCAGCAGAAAAATCATTGTAGGAGCGGGCCGACCAGGGAAAAAAACAGGTGGGAAGGGTACGTGTCCTACCCATATTATTTTTCCGGACGACGGTTCATCACGCCGCATCCCTCTCGTGAATGCTGCGTTCTACCTATTTTTGCTCGCTTTTTTGCTCCACGGAAATGCTCACGATATCTGTTACCGGGAGCTTCGCGCACACACATTCAAACTACACTCACGCGCCCTCACATTCGCATTATACGCACTATACGCAATGACGCATCACCCATACCCCTCTACTCTGTAAAAAGTATCATCCTGAAGCCTTCTTCCAAAATTACATAATCTTAACCCGAAGCGATTGTACAAAGGAAATTCATCCTCTTCGGAGTAACTCGGCTTTTCTCGAGCAGTATCGTTCGAATTTCCTTTGCTCAGACCCAGGACATGTTTCTGTGCAACGGACAGGGTTTGTAACCCTGACCCTAACCCTAACCCTAACCCTTACCCTATCCTGATTGCTGAACTACTGGAGTCGCTTGTCGAAAGCTTGCACGCCAGTCATAGATCAGGTGGATACTGAGCGGGAAATCTGGTTCCTGCGTTATGGATCCCGTACTCTGTCGTTGTAACCCTCTGTCATTCGGGCGTTTTCGCTTGTGCTTTCCGCCTTGGCACTGAAATATTCCCATCTGTTGAAAGTAATCAAAGTTGTTTCTTCGATGAAGCTGTTGTATGTGATAATCTTAAAGGTTGTCGGGGATAAAAAGGTGAGGAAGTATAAAACAAATTTTCAGCAACCATTTTTGTCCTTGGTCGCCACTCTAATAACAAGTATGATGAGAATTATCATGACAACTACTAACCATTGCACTACTGCTCAGTCCTCACCCACTTATGAGATCCAAAGTGACACCGACCGGTTTTTACAGAAACCCGAAGCTCCGAGTCTCCGAGGCCGGAACGTGGAATGATCAAAGCTACTTTGATAAGAACAGCCCTGTTGCTGGGACAATCCCGACACCCCATCTCAGTGCATAGCGTCTCAGACTAAATGGGCGAAAGTTTGCGTGAATGGCCAATTTCAACACGTGTTCGGCTTCCCAGGTATCCGACCGAATGGACGCGCGTACCCTTGGCGTGAAGAAGGGGTCTCTACAGAGCAGTCCTTCTTCATGCGCCTCACATCATGATGCCAACGCTTGTATACGGAGTCAATATGACGCCAAATCGCACGATCTCACGTTTTTATGGCCAAAGGTAGGGAGAGACGGAGAATCAGGGTTAAGGGCATCAAGGCGGGGAGTGCGAATGACGTTGCCGGCAGATGGTCCTCTACATAGTCGAGGGCCACTCATGCCGGCAGCCACTTGTCCCCTCACTACCATCGACATTGATGATCGCACTGCTCTGCCTGCTTTGTTTTTCCCCTCTCAAAAGAATATCCAGCATGGATGGGGCGGGGAAAAGCGACGGGCAGGGATGGAGCTGGGAGACACAGATTCCAAAGGGCCGCATTCCGGACTTCGTCAAAAACCAACGCTGCATCAAAATCGCATTTTGCGAGGGAAAAGGGTCACAAAAGAGACCTCTCCCTATTGGAATGACTTTTATGCAAGAAAAGATTGGTCTATTGATCACAACGCGTACGATATGCAGGTATTCGAAGCTATCACGGAGACGCGAGACATCCCTCTTCAAAGCCCCGGAGGCAGGGCATGCGATCTCCTCCTCCGAAAGTGGCGGGAAGAAGTCTTCCGGCTCCTTCAAGTCCAACAAATCGATAAGTTGTGGATTAAGGATGCTCATATGTCTCTGGCATGCACGCAGAAGGAAGCAGCAGCATGGAAAGCAGCCACGGTCGCGGCTACTGAACGAGCAACATGCTTGGAGGAGAGTTTTGTTCTTCCTAAGCAAGAGCGAGACACCGCTAAAGCTCAAGCAAAAGCATTTGAATTAATGTCAACGACTTCGAATAAGACATCAGCTGCCATGATTGAGAAATTGGAGGCCGAATGTAATGCTTTGAGAAGGGAAAGGGATGCTGCCCGGAGGACTTCCGAGACAATTATTGCGGATGTCGAGTCATGGCACAAGTGAATGAAACGAGTGCTTGAGGGGGATGGTAGGGACATGTGTGGCTGGGGCGAGGAGGGTTGGGAGGCGTATTGTGAGGAAGAAAATGGAGAGGAGAGTTGGGTAGGAAATGAGGAGGAGGAGGAGGAGGAGGAGGAGGAGGAGGTGGTAGTGGTGGCGCCCAATCAAGCAATTGAAAGGGAGAGCGATACTGAATCGCTTGCAGAGCTGCACGCTGATGAAAAAAATGAAGAAGAGAGGATCGAATTACACGATCCAAAGCAATTGAACCCCCTGTCCACAGCGCTTAGGAGATGTTATCAATGCCATTCTCGCCTGAAGGCAATGCGACTGAGAGTGGCTAGATTGTTAAATCTATTGTGGCAGAGGTAAATCGATGGTTGGTGGTGTCGACATGCCGGGGTGCGACAGGTCCTGACAAGGGAGTGTGCGGACCTTTCGATGTGTCCCTTGTCGTGCATTCCGATTTCATTTCTTCTCTTTGTGTGTCGTCAGGACGTTTCTGTATTGTCGACCCTCTTGCTGGTCTGCACGCAGGACCGAACCCCACTTTTAAGGACTATACATTTTATTTTGTTGTTTCTCTTGATGGTCGTTGTCCCGCTCAATCCATTTCTACGTTCCCCCCTGCGTCTTCCTTCAGGGAGCTGCACCATCGGAACGACATGGCCACGCTGGAAGCGGAGAAAAGGACCCTCGCCTGGGCATTGGGGCAAGACGCCAAAGAGGGGCAGGAGCGAAAGGAGGGTGCACGGAGGAGGGACGAGCTGGCTCAAGGCGGGGTCCCGAGTGGAAGAAATAAAAGAGAGGTCCTGAAAGAGCCACCGTGCCCTGCGTCTCCTCCTGCATCACCTTCTCCTCGCAATTCTACTGGGTTCCTCTCACTCCTCGCTTGCAATACAAGGCTGGAGGCAGCCATGCGCAGGGTCTTCCAAGCGGTAGATCGCGAGGATAAAAGGCGGGGGTGGGTGTCATCTGCGGTTCTAGTGCACGCCTGGGCGAGTGATGAAGAAGTCAGCTGGATCCTGGAATGGGAGAGAAGGAGCGAAAAAGGGAGGATAGGAGTGGGAGGGACGGTGAAAGGAAGTCCGGAGCCTTCTTGGACCTGGGAATGTTCTAGAGATGGCGGAGAGGCCGAAAAGGAGCAGGAGAAGGAAAACATGGGAAGGACGCTGGGTGAATGTGAGGTGGGCACGAGGAGGTGCCTGGAAATCTACGGAACGGAAGGAAACTTACATAAGTGAGTTTTAGAGCGTGTGATAGAACAAGAAACAGTCACGTGGGGGGAGGTGCTCTTGTCTTTCGTTCCTGCATGGGAGGGAGGGGGCGCAGCGCAAGACGAAAAAGGAAAGAAAGTCAGAGAAAGTTTGAGTGCTGGCGTTAGAAATTGTGCACCAGGGATGGCGACAGCAGCTAAAAAAGAGAAAAGGAGTTACGTCGAGGAAGATAGCACTGAATGGGAAGCGAGGGGAGAACCGAGTCGAACAGGAGAAACAGGGGAAATGGACAGCGAGAGGGAGCGGTGGCGGGGGGGGAGGAGTAGCGTTATAGACAACGGAGACAAGCCAAATCAGTCGGAAGATTCGAGCCTGGTGGCTCGTTTGCAAGTATTAGAGGATTTGGGTGAGACGCTGTTGACGTGTTGACCAGTAACAGGCAAGCAGAGGGCCATGGGAGAGTCTGGTTCCTCGTTAGTGTTTGGTCGTCTCCTTCATGTATCTTGTTATGGCTTTGATTGAGGAGCGCTGTTTGCACGTGTGAAATCAGGAAAATGATGTGAAAGCAACATGGGGTGTGCTCTGACTTGGATGAAGCCGGGCTCTCTGCCTCCCCCATCGTACTCCGGACCTCTGGTCTCTTCTGGTAGGCTCCCAGGTGATGAGCTTGTGGAGGTTAAAAGAGGTAGCAGAGAACGACTCTGGGAAAGCGTTGTACATTCCCAATGTGAACCCACGAAAGAGTTATGAGACAACAGAATAAGACATGTACCTCTCTCGTGATTGCTTCTTGAGTCACGTAGCGCGCGTGCGGAGCCTATCCACACATTGTGGTCACCAAGGCTGTCGACCGAGTCCCACCCTCTCATGCCAATTTATCCCATAGATACGGTAATAAGCCATAGATATCGACGGTACCCACAAGGACGAAGAGCAATACAATAGATACCTTTCGCGATACATCGCGCGCTGGGCTAGATTCCTCCGCCTTGGGTTTAACCACCGCCTCGCTCATCCGGAGATTCGATTGGTTCACTCTGTCACGCGCTCCTCCCTACGCCTATCGAGAAACTTCACTCACCCACCTTTACCCAACAGCACAATGTTAAGAGATCCCCTACACTGTTCAAAGATCCCCCCCCGGTCCGTAAGCCGCCCTCGGGTTACAATCTCCAGGTAAGAATTAAAATTGTGTCTGATGGATGAATTCTGACTACTCTCTGATCGGATGATCTGTCCTACTTCTTGCAAGGATTGCGTATACGGGGTTTTTCTCTCACCAACTCGTGTATAAATCCGTTTCTTAGGATTATACAAACACCTTTTATTCCGGGCTACCTTAATTCCCCGTTCCTTATAATAAACGACGCTGACAAAGACATTCCATTTATAATGGATCCTGAATTGTCTGCCCACTTATTCTTCCAGCGCTGAAGTGGTTGCTTTTTTTGACGTAGGAGTGTAAAGAGGACGAGACTGATCTTGTGATTCCGGATGAGGAGGAATAATTCCTACGGCAGGACTCTGAGGATCCTTCTGAGAATTTTCAGGATCAGACAGCCGAGGGAAAACGGTCTGTCGCGAAGCATACATTTTCAGTCTTGTCACGTGCGCTTGAATTGGCTTGCGAATTGTCCCATGTGCCCATTCGATTACATATATATAATCGCGCAATTTGCGTATACTCCGATATGGCCCCGTCCAGTACTACTTTGTAGTAAACTCCTTTCTTTTTATGGGGACCTAATAACCACATTTGTTGCATTAGATCGAATGAGGCCTGTCTTGTAACTTTACGGTTCCATCGGGAACGTTTTTTTTGGGGTTGATCTTCAAAATTCGAGGCAGCTATAGGCTTGGCCTTCTTCAATCGATTCACGTATTGTAGTGCATGATCCGGTAAGTTTTCGTACATAAAGCGTGTCAAAGAAAACGTCGGTGGGAAGCCGCGGGTCTCTTCCATAAATCAAATAATTTGCGAGTTTCATTCAGGAAAGGATGTACGCTAGTAGTATGAGCAAAAACCAGCGGAGGCACATAGGATCCCAGTCGTCATAGCATGTGCTGAAAAGATCGAGAGCAAATTCAGGAGAGATAGATTGGCTCTTTCAGTTTGGCCGTTTGCTTGTGGCCGGTAGGGGCCAATCCAACTATTGCGTTTTTGCACGATGGGGACTAACTTGGTAATCATTGCGTTCTTGAAATGGGAACTAATAGATCTTGAGGTCAACCAGATCGACAGATCACCTGGTCGTACAGAAAAGTAGCGACTGTGATAGCTGTCTGCCCTTTCGTTGGAAAGGCCTCGACCCAATGGATGAGAGCATCTGTAATTACTAGATTGCTCATTTTCCAGCACAAAGACCGGATTATTGGCCCGAATGGCGGCGATCTGCAAATAAACGAACGCCACTCGCTGAAAAGGGGCCCAGGCCGTGGGTCGTTGACCCAACTGTATGTTTCCTACGCTTGCACTTGACACTCGTCTCCTTATCATTTCCTTTCTTATGGCAATCCCTAAGATCGTCTTAAACATACAGTCCCATGCACGAATGAGCGCTGCGGCCTCCCGAGGCAAAGCCGCGGCGCCGTGGAGATGGAGGGCCCGCACTGCGATAGCCGCAGTGTCTGGAGCCCTCATCCTGGCCTCAATGGTGCAGCTGCAGCAAGCGACGCTCCTCGAAAGGGGTCGGACGGCTCTTGAAGACATCGCGAGGGAATCTTCTCAGCCATCGCCTCCGCCTCGGAGCTACTGTGAGCTGATCGCCGACCCGACGGTCCGGCGCCCGAGGGTCCTGGTCACTGACATATTGTTCCCAACTCCCGTGTCGGCCTGGCGCCTAAATGAGCTTACTGCGTGGATGGGCGAGGTCGACCTGGACATCCTGGTCTCTTATCGTTACCCGGGATTCTCTACGGACTGGGAGCCGATCCGAGAGAGCCACTGCCTCGCGGACTACAACGTTTTCGTGTTCAGGGACGCCCACAGAGGATCCGTGGAGGGCATCAACTCCTTGGCTAACGGGACCTTCAACACCTCCGAGTTCCTGGGTCACTGGCCTGCGGAGTATCTCCTGCGTCCGCGGAAGCTCGGGACCTCCCCCCCGTCGTTGAAGGACTACGATTGGGTCCACCACATCTTCCACATCGCCTACAAGTCATTTAACGAAGCGTTTCCTGGCTACCCTCAGCGACAACAGAGCATCCACCTGTATCCCGGCGGAGGATTTTTCCTCGATCAGCAGTACACACTCCCCCCCGACGTCACCCTCTTCACGACGCAGTCGTTCATTCGGGATTATGCCGACAGGTGCTTCCCGAAGAACCCAAAGGTGGATGTCTTCGGGGGGCCCATGCTGGCCAAGGACGCGGTCAAAGCTCGGAAGCGGCTTCACGAGCCAGGCGCCCGCATCAGCGCGTGCTTCACGTCTCTGGGAAACCCGCATGAGAAGGGTGCGGACCTTTACGCCAGGATCGCGGAGCTGTACCGTTCCACCTACCCTCAAGACAACGTCACCTTCTACGGGATCGGGAGTGTGATTTCGGCCGTTGACATGGTTGTCTTCGATCCGATGCCTCAGCAGCAGCTGGATGCCTTCTACCGAGACGAGGTCGACATCATCTTCAACCTCGAGCGCACGCAGTATCGCAACGGCTGGCCCCTCGGGACGGAAGGCTTGTTGATGGGGCTGGTCCTGTTCACGACGGACGCCTACAATCTGAACAA